CTCTTTTTCATAATATGTCAGGAGATGTGATGTCAGGTAGAAAGGAGAAGGGAGAAGGTGCCAGGAAAATAAGTACATGTGCAAACAAATAAGGGCTTATGTTCAAGGTGTGACTTTAAAGTATTGTTTGTGATCAGAGGTGCTGTTGCTAATTATGTACTGTTTACATGCTGCAATTCCTCATGTCACCACAAATTGCTTTGTTGTCTTTGGCTCTTAATATGCACTCTAAAAGGACTAGCAGTTTCTAGCCTAGACAAAAGTTTATTTACATTGGTAATTCCAAAGTTTAACTATCTGACATCGTATTCATTTGTAGCATGAATGCTTTAAAATTTTGAAATATTTATGCTTTTACTTAGATTACACAGTATTCTTTAAGTTAATCCTAGATATATCTGTTTTTTAAAAAAAATCAACTTGGAATCATTTGCTTCAGCCTTATCTATAGTAAGATACAGTATTATTTCTCACTGTCTGGAAATAAATTGTATATAGGGGTGCCTGGCTGGCTCAGTCAGTGGAGTGTGTGACTGTTGATCTCGGGGTTGTAAGTTTGAGCACCATATTGGGTGTGGAGATTACTTGAAAAAATAAAATAATTGTATATATTTTGTAGTCTTGTTAACAGATATGAGAAAGGATAGTATACCATCATTTGCTGGGCTTCACGGTATAAGTATAGTTTTTTTTACTTTTGGGACTTTAGGGGTTAAGTCATTTTCATCCAGGAAACAACTTTATACTATTTGTCTGGCAGAAACACTGCTATCATTTGTAGTGACCTATCAATGCAACCAACTTAATAAAAGCCAGTACACATAGAGTTTAATATATGTCAGGCACTGTGAGGCTACAAAATATATACAACTTTTATATTCCAAATAAAAGTATAAATAATACTGTTCTCTACTATGCATGTGACTGAAGCAGATTTCACACTTTTTTTTTTTTTTTTTTTAAACAAATTCAGGGTGTCTAGGTGGTTCAGTCGATTGAGCTTTTGACTCTTGATTTTGGCTCACGTCATGATCTTGTGATTTGTGGTATCAAGCCTTTCTCTCCTCCTCTCTCTCCGCCCCTCCCCTGCTTGTATACACTCTCAGAAAATGGATAAACTTAAAAAAAACACAAACACAATCTCTCCTCTAAGGTTTTTTAAAACAAATTGTGGCATATATATTCTAAACACCTTTCATATATTAACTTATTTAATATTCATAATAATTTTATGGCATAAGTACTATTATTATATTTGTCTTTTAAGCAAGCATACTGAAGCCCAGGGATTTTAAATAGTTTAATCTTACTCATCCTCTTTATACTGCATGTCTTTTTTTGTGCTGTATTTTATAGGGTGTAGCTGTGCACCCAGTTTAGTGGGAGAGCCTGCACTCTGGTTCAAGTCTGTGTGCTTCACATCAAGGCCTTACTGTCTCCAAACACAATTATTTGTTTCTCAATTCTTTATTGCATAGTTCACTAAAAGTACTGTTGTTTAGAAATAAAGTTCTTAAAATGTTTTATAAATTTTACCCAAAAACTTCCTTTTTAAGTAAAATTTGTTGTTTTATTTTTAAATGTGTGGGTTTTTTTCATGTTTATTTATTTTTAAGAGAGAGAGAGGGAGACACAGAATTGGAAGCAGGCTCCAGGCTCTGAGATGTCAGCATAGAGCATGATGTGGGGCTTGAACTCAAGAACCAAGAGATCATGACCTGAGCCAAAGTCGGATGCTTGATTGACTGAGCCACCCAGGCGCCCCTGTTAATTGTTTTAAAATTGTTTTTCTTGAATACATTTGCTCAAAGGCTGGAACTTATAGGTAACTTATTAGAAAGTTCTAGCACACTGAACAAGTCCTTCCAGGTATCAACATTGACTTTAAAACACCTGTCACGGGTGTTAGTTTTTCTCATTATGGGTAGTTTACTGTTGCATCCGAACAGTAAAGAGGTGTGTATCCACATTTGATTAATTTCCTCATCTCCTCTCTACTAAGGTGTCATGGGAGATTTTAAACATTGCCAATAATAATTATACTAATAGAAGATACTTTTAATTGTCAAAATAAAGGCGTTCAATATCATTGTATAAATTGAGTCTGCTGTACATCATCAGAATTTTAAGATTTAGTTCTTACAGCTTTCCATGTAGATTATCCCCTGCAGTAAATTACAGAACAGGTAGTATAACTGCATCTAAATTCTATAGGCATTCGGATATATCTTGTTGATTGGACATTTTCTTTGTGGGTTATGGATATCACCATTTAAAATTTTGTATTTAAATGTTAATTTTTTGGATTAATGGTTTTGTGAAAGGTTATCATCTAAATGTTCTGTATTTCTCTGTTAGAGTAAATTATCTTGTGTTCTTTTGTCATTAATAAAGTTTCTTGGTAATATTTACTAATATATATTAAATGTTAGGGCACCTGAGTGGCTCAATTGGTTAGGCATACAACTCTGATCTTTGCTCTGGTCATGATCTCACAGCTCATGAATTGGAGCCACACCTTGAGCTCTGTGCTATTAGAGCCTGATTGGAATGCTCTCTCTCCCTTTCTCTGCCCCTCCTCTGCTTGCATGGGCTCTTGTGCTCTTTCTCTGAATAAATAAACTTTAAATGTATATCAGTAAACAAACACATCCCAGGCATATATAAAGAATGGATGTCAGGGCTACTGGGTGGCTTAGTGGTTAGTGTTCGACTTTGGCTCAGGTCATTATCTCATGTTTGTGAGTTTGGGTCCCAGGTTGGGCTCTGTGCTGACAGCTCAGAGGCTGGAGCCTGTTTTTGGATTCTGTGTCCTCCTCCCCCCACCCCTCCCCAGCTCTCTCTCTCTCTTCTCAAAAAATAACCATTAAAATTTTTAAAAAATGGATGTCAGAGTTTGATCACAACAGGTAGTTTTTACAAAGATTACCTCAAGATTTATTAAGAGTTGTAAAATATGATTCAAAAAGGAAAAAGAAAAATATGGAAAAGAAAAAAGTACATGGTATAAAGAGATTCTTCTTTAGAAGCAGAGAATTCCAAATATAAGCAGGCTTACATACATAATAACTTTTGTTGTCATAAGCTCATCTACATTTTTCCAACATCTTAGGCTTTAACCAACTTTTGTAAGTTCAGTTGAATCAAAATGAATTTATTTCCAACATAATCCTTCTCTGTATTGTGTAAGCCAGTTCTGAGTCAACATCTGTGTCAATTCTAGGATATAATTTAGAACCATGACATACTCAATTTATGCTGTGAAAAGTTTTATGGAGTTGTGTTCAGTATTAACAGTATTCCTATCTCTAAGACTGTAAGACATTATTTGTTTCACTTTTTTCATTTTTGACATGGTTTTCTGTTTATTACAACAAGGCAAGTACTCCTCTCACAGTTTTGGGGTTAGATTCAGATTCTTAGGCAGTTTGTTCCTTCTTCCTTCCCATTTAAATTCATTGAAAACTACTATTTTCATGGCTATTTGCCTCCAAAAGCAATTGTTCATAATTGAGGCAGATTTTCCCTTGTAGGAATTCACAGCTGTGAAGAGAAAGTTATCTTTCCCAGTGGGTTAATAAATAGGCTTTTGTGAGAATTTACTGGAATATTTTTCCTGATGAAAGAGTCAAAGACTAAGAGTCTGTTGTTCTTGGTGCTCATGGAACCAGAACACCTGCAGCCGAGCATTTACACTTGGGAAAGCAGAACTAATGTAAGGTCTTCTTTCATGGAGGCAGTAGTTTGAAAGCAATGATTTTTCTTAAAAATTTAAAATTCAGACATGACCTTTGTCCCAAATTAGAGGCTTGAAGAGTGAAAGCTCATTGAAGTTGCAGTCAAACTAAAACTCACATTAACACCATTTCCTATATACTATAGCTTTGTACATTCTGCTAATGTACACATATTTAACTGGGAAATATGAAGCCTTTTGCTGTGTCCACTAATTTGTTTGTGTTAACACTTCCCTTTCTTGTTCCACTTTGTTTCTTAGTCACCCAATTCATAAAAACGCCATTTGGGAGAATGCATCTCTGCTATAGGAAATCACTACTCTTTCTTAGTCTAACCCAAGCTACTGTCAACTTAATTGCATCCGTTTCCATCCTAGACTCGCTTTTCTGTGTACTGAGGTTAGGAGCACACATAGTAAGCTAACCTTCCTGTGTTTAAATTTTGGCTGTTACAGTGGCATGGCCTTGAGTGAGCTATTTATTCAATCTCTGTCTGGGGCTTCAGTTTCCCTCTGTAAAATGGGGATACTACTGTACCTCTATGCTTGTTCTGAGGACTAATTAACATTAGTTAAAACCTCCACCATACATATCCTCATTGTCTAGTCCTTTGCCCCGTTTTATTTTTCTTTATAGCACTTATCACCACTGGTTCTATATTGTTCAGTATCTTTCTCTCCTAACAGGAGTGTAAACTCAGCACAGTTTTCTTTTGGTCATTGTTGTAGTCCCACACCTAGACAACCTGACATAGGTGGTGGTTAGTAAATACCTGCTCAAAGGCTGTATAGATGCTGGATTAAGAACCAACTTTTTCCTGACAACTACTGACCTTAACTTTACTCTGCACCCCCCCCCAACCCCCCCATGGCATGACCCTAACATTTCCTACTCCTATATTTCCACTTAATCCAGGTTTTTTCATTAGGCCACTATTCACTTTAAAAAGATAATCTGGGATTTTAGAAACAAAATAAAAACTAAATTCTTATTTTGCAAAGTAAAGGATAAGCACAAAGAAAATGCAGATACTGTTTTCAAAGGGAAATATTCAGTACTATATAGTAAATTGAATCGTATGTATACTTAGATAGTTTGAACTTTGGTTTTAATATAACAGACCTACCTATAAAGAACCACGGACATTTCAGATCAGGTAAGGAATACTACTTTATGACTAAAGCACATATACTTAGTTACAATTATATATACTTAGTTACATATACTGAGTTACAATGAAGTTTTTTCTTTTCTCTTTTGCAGATTAATGACACCAGTGAGTGAGATCAGATTTGTCCACAAGGAGATGGGTATAATACCAAGCTGGGGCGGTAGTACCCGCCTAGTTGAAATAATCGGCAGTAGACAGGCTCTCAAAGTGTTAAGTGGGGCCCTCAAACTGGATCCAAAAAAAGCTTTAAACATAGGAATGGTTGATGAGGTCTTGCAGTCTTCAGATGAAACTGAATGTCTAGAAGAGGCACAAGAGTGGCTAAAGCAGTTTATCAAAGGGCCACCAGAAGTAATTAGAGCTTTGAAAAAATCTGTTTCTTCAGGCAAAGAGCTTTGTTTCGAGGAGGCATTACAGAATGAAAGAGATCTCTTAGGGACAGTTTGGGGTGGAACTGCAAATAAAGAGGCTATTGCTAGGAGAGGAAAATTTAATAAATGATTTTTAAGAATATGATGTACTATAAGAACTCCAATAAATATTTGTAGAATTATTAAATAGGAATACCAGGCTGCACTTAGCATTTAATAATTTTTTGAATATTTGAACTCACTGACCTGAAAATAGTTTTCAGCATATTTGGGTAATTATCTAGTAATCTAGAATATTTGCCTAAAATATACAACACTTTTGGCTTAAAATGATCAATTACCATAGTTTTAGCTTGTAACAAAAGACCAGTTTTTAAAAGGAAAAACCTCTCCACAGAACCTATTCCTGGGTTATTTTTCATGGTCTCTGTTCTGTCTTACCTGGAGATAATTTACAAAAATAACTTAATGAAATATGCACTAAAGAACAAAAGTGGAAGAGGGATCAGGGAACAGGCTAACAAGGAGTATCATTTTCTTCTGCTTTAAGCAGTGGTAATAATAGGTAAAGAATTGGGGAGAGGTACTTGGGTGACTCAGTTAGTGAAGCATGCTACTGTTGATCTTGGAATTGTGAGTTTGAGCCCCACGTTGGGTGTAGACATTACTTAAAAAAATAAAATAATGTTTAGAAAGAACTGGAGGGGTGCCTGGTGGTTGAGCATCCGACTCTTGATTTCAGCTCAGGTCATGATCTCATAGTTCTTGAGATTGAGCCCCACATCAGGGGCTGTCCACACATACCCTGCTTGGGATTCTTTCTCACTCTCTCAAAATAAACAAACTTAAAAAAAGTTCTTCTTTTAAATAAAAATGCATCTTACTACCCTATAAAGTTTGGAGCCTTCTTTGATAGTTCAGTAATTAGTTTTCTATTTTAAATAATCTACTAAACAACCGTAACTATCATGTGGAAAGTCTACTGACTCTACAAAACTGGCCATTCATTTGTATGCCATGGGATTTCTGAACTAGTAGTAAGTACTACTGTTTAGTTTACACGGTAGTAAAATTTAACTTTGCATCAAATTTCCTGACATCAAAAGGATTCATGCATTATGTAACATACATTTGCATTTTATATCAGGTTTCTAGTTTTTTCTGAAAAGTAGCTAACCTTTCTTTGAACTAGCTGTATTCTGAAAGTACATTTGATAAAAAAGCACAACTCACACTTTTATGATCTCAGTGACATAGGCTTTAAAAAACATAGAAGTCAAAGAATGAAGTCCCAGTTCTAACCTATCACAAGAGATAAGATAGTTTCAAAGTAGTGACACTTTTTATTTGCTATTTTAACATTCAATTCACACTTGAAAAATATATTAAAAATAACTTGCATAGGCTTCAACATGATCCTACTGTTTTGAGTTAAAATATATTAAGACAAACTCACACTCCCTTTCAGAACCCAATTCTGGATTACCAAGTTAACCCAGGACTTGCTGTCTTGCCATAGGTTCTGCTTTTTGTGTGAAGTGAATTTGTGTCTACTAATGCTGTTTACAAATAAGCCTCTCATTTAACCTATTAGTGTCAGGCCACTAATGAAGGCTGGCAAGGAAAATCCAAAACATGTATGGTCTCTACTACCAGTCATGTAAGAAATTTAAGTTCTTGGGCTTTTGGTTTATTCCCATACATACTTGTTCCATGTAATTGCTTGTAGATTCTGTTTAAATATTCCTTATGAATAAATCAAACTTTTCTGAATATTCCTTATGAATAAATTAAACTTCTCTGAGCAGATGACTAAGCTGAATAACCACCACTTCAAACCATCACCTGTTTATTAACCTTAGGCCACAAATGTCAAAATGTTTCCATCCTCTTTCCAGACTCAAACAACAAATTATTTTTGATAAACTCTAGTATTTATTAAATTATAAATTCTGTAATCAAAAAGAAAAATGCAGATCAAGAGAAACCTCAAACTACAAGGACTAGACAGCAAAGCCTATGGGAAACACCATGAAGTATGTTACAGACAAGATTCTGAAACATAAATTATTAACTGTTTTCTTTACATTTCCATTTCAGTAACTTTACTATTTCATAGTTGTTATTCATCTATTTTAAAATCCCAAATTCACTTCTATTCTCATTATTACGCTTCCCGTTCATACTGATAAACAGACATCTCATAGGTGCCAAATTTTAGTAATGGTTTTACGTCAATCCATGCAGGAAAATAAGACACAGTGCAAGAGTAAGATGAGGACTGTTAATGCACAGATAATACACACACACTGGCCAAAGAACTGAAGAAATTTTAAAAAACTATAAAATAAACAGACCTCAAGAAAACTGGGTTATTACTAAACAACTCTCAACTATTAACGCCCGAGTTCCTTATATTAAATAAATTCCTCAACAGAGACATGTTAGACATTTTTATTACAGGTCTGTCCTCCCCATACCCCTTCCCACCCCAACTCCCAAAATACACTACTAGGGATGCGTATAATGTTATGTGGGCAGAAATTTACAAATAACCATCTTAACCTTGAGCATGGAGCTGAAGATGTTTTTGTTTAAACTTCAGTTACTGTGCACTGTCCATCGGGCCTTCTAGATCTGACACCAGCACTCACTGTTCCACCCCCTGCTACTGATAGATCAGTTCCTGATCGATCAGATACTGTCTGATTTGCATTAGGAACCAAAAGTCTCTGTTGGGTCAAGGAGTGTTGTGCAACAAGCGCAGATACATCCTCACTATCGCTACTGGCATCTGATTCGGTTTCTTCAATGGAGGTGTCTGGTGCTGGTACCCTGCCTGAAGATGGTGATTCATGATCTTCTTCTCCTTCCCCCCTATGACTCCTTTCAGCTATGCCGTCTCCACTGAGTTGTAAATGAGCAAAAGAGTCTTCCAGAGAAGTGCTTGCATCAGGGGATGGAGTTGTAGGGCTTGTTAACTGACCATCTACTGATGTTAGGGGCCTTACAGAAGACACTAGAGGCTGAACAGAAGCTCCACTCTGTGCTGATATACTGTCCGCTCCATCTGCAGAGCTCTCTCTCGCTAGGTTTACAGTATTAGTGTCACAGTCCAGCCTAAGTCCGGCTACTCCCTTCTTTGGTATATCTATTATATCCCGCTTAATCTTCCTGCGACGTCCATGTTCATTTCTCCTGTATTGAACCATATTTTCAAGATCAGCAACATACAGAAACCCAGCAATTAACATTTCAGTGCTCTTTTTACCTTTGGAAAATGCATCTTCCAACTCTCTACTAGTGCGCTCATCATATTGCCACCACCCATTTCTTCCTTCATAATACCATGCATATTCACCGTTTCCTCTGCTTGCCGCCTTGAGTTCTTCTGGTGACAATAAGGTTGGCTTGTCAAGGAAATCTTCGGGAATTTCTTGTCGACAGAGGGCACATCGCTTTCCAAGCCATGAAGCTCCCTTTACGCACAGATAGCAGAAAACATGCTTACAAGGCAGACTGACTGGATGAACACATGTTTGCAGGCAAATGGCACATTCAGGGACAGTTAGAGAAGGTGCAGTATTAGAACAGGATTCATTTGCTTTCCTGTTCGTAGGAAGCATGTTTATTGAGTGATCAATCTCACCACAGCCAGCCATCCTAAGAAAATGAGAGAAAATACATGTAATATTAAAATTGTGTTTCAACTCTTCCTATTGTAATTCAACTCAGAAAAACACTTATTAAGCAACTATTGTATATGTGTACTACGTACTAGACAATAAGGAACAAAATTGAAAGAGAAAAAAATCTGTGTAGAAAAATCTTTTTGATTTTATTACATTAATTTTTACTCTGGGGGAGGCATGAGGCACACAAATAAATGTTAAGCCAAAAATTAAAAAAAAATACAACTGAAGTATAGATTTTAAATAAATATACCATTTCTATTCAATCACAAAACTTATGAGATATAAGTAAATGCAAAAACTTAAAAATGTACATTCCATTCTAGACTGACTTTTCCAATCAGTGTAGAAAACAGACACAGAAAATGGCTAAAAGTAATTTAGATTACAATTACAGAATGTGACAATTTTGTAGTCCTTTACAATATTACTGATAATTTTGGAAATGCTGCCATAGGTTATAGTTTTGGTACCTGACAAGTAGACCATATGAAATTAAGATTAAACCTGAAATCCTACAAATTCTCTACTCCTGTATATTTTAAAAACACTGGTTAAACCAGTCATTTCATTCCTCTTCCATGAAACACTCTTCTTGTGATGGCCTTTCCTTGTTGCCTTTTTCTAAACCGTTATTTTCTTCTTGCTTACTCTTTAAAGATGATCTCATCTACACCCATGGCTTCAAGTGCTACTTATAAACAAATGACTCAGAAATTGGTATCACAGTCCAGGTCTCTACTTTCAGCCCTAGATCTAGATTTCTAATTGTCTATTTTAGAATTCTTCCTGGATGTTTTGAGGGCAAAAAAAAACCTGAACACATAATCTGTTTCTTCCTTATTTACTCCCTAAAAGCTCCCCACTCCTGATGACACCATTATTCACCTGCTTTGTTAGGCCAGAAATCCATCACTGAAACTACCCTTATCCAACTCTTCTCATCCAAAACATCCTACTCTCCCGAATCCATCTACTATCCATTTCTACCCTTCCCTAACCATCAGGTAAACACTTTACTGAATTATTGAGTATGCCTTTTAATTGGTCCAGGCTTACCTCTTTTGCTTAAAAAGGTGATTTTTAGGATAAAGACCAGAATCTATGTGCAATGGTCCTGACCCCACCACCCCACCAGCCTCATCTATTAAACTTCTCCCTGATCAGGCTACTACCTCCAATAAAAGGATTTTTCTTTATATGAACGTTTCTTCATTTCCTGCCTCCCATATCCCCCATGGACAAATTACTACCCATCTTATACCCCTCTTGAGAAACCCTCCATGACTAGGTCAAATCATCCTATTTTTTTAACTTCTTACTGCCATGTATTTCTCATTCCTAGCACTTACCAGAATTGCAATGTTACGTTTATGTGTGTGATTATTTTGTTAATGTCACCCTTCCCCCGTAAGTAGGTAAGCTTTTTAAAGGCAGGAAGCAAGTCACTTTTGGTTCATCTCTGTATTCTCATAAAAGACCTGGCAGATAGAGAACACTCAACTATTAGCTAAGAAAATGAATATGTTTTGGAAAGAATATAATACCATATTATAAAACATGTTCTTGAGTTTTATTTTACTTTAAATAATATTAAATTAAACCATTGGAATTGATAAACTTTTTTTAAAGCATTTACTTGTATATACCTTGGGAATGTATAAAAATTCTGTTAGTGAACTTAAAAATCAGTGCTGAAGCAGCATACTGAAAACTATAATGAAAAATTGCAGATGGCCAAGGAAAAAGGATAACTTGAATTAAGGCAGCTGTTATACAATGAAACCAATCCTACATAAGAACTCTAAAAACCAAAGTCTCTCTCTCTCCCTTATTTTGTACTCTTCAGCACTCAGTTAAACCTGTAGTCTAAATTTCCTAACCTACAAATCAGTTTATAAAAATTAGATAAGAATAGCTTAAAAAAACAAAAACACCTCACAAAACACTTTAGTAAGTGTTCACTAAAGCTTCATTCACTAAAGCTCCATAAACGTTACAAACATGTAAAGCCAAGATTTGAGAAAATGACACGAATATTGTTACCCTGAAGCAGAAGATGGAAAAAAAAGGGACAAGATTTGTCAGACTGGATGTATTGGGCTTAAATAATGACATAAGATTTGTTAATTTCTGCTTTATTCAGATGAACATCTATTTAAAAACTATTATAGCCCATATGTAATGCTGAATATTGATGGATCTAAAGAAACACACCTACTTTGTTAAATAAGGAAACATTCATGCAAGCAAGCAGTAATCACAATATGGCCTAATTCTTGCAGTAAAGTGTTAGATACATATTAAAGGTAATGAGAGACAGATAAGAAGATGGACATAGTCTAGAAAGTTTGGAGTGCAGAGGAGTAGAAGAGATTAAAGGCAGAGACATGTGCATAGTACTGAGTCTAACCATCGAAGAGTAAGAGATGAAGCTGTAAAAGTAATCAGAAGCCAAACATGAAAATCTTTTTGTGCTCTGCTAAGGAAACTTCTGATTTGATTTTACCCCACAGTACGAGGAAACCAGATATTTCAAAGAGGGGAGAAAATGACAGAGGGAGTAGACCAGTAATACGTAAAAAGAGAAATAGAGATAAAAGATCTCAGAGATTGGCAACTATTAATTAACTGCTGCTTAAAATGAGTGACAATCTCTCTCTACCATTTGATTGTGTTTTAAACAAGGAATATTTCAAATTTAATCACCATTAAGGATCTGTTTTTTTCCGAGATCAAGCATTCAAAAATGGGCACAGCAGTTGCAAAAGGGGTAGTCAGTAAAAATGTTTATGCTCATCAAAACCTGAAAAAACAATGCTCTTAGACTTTTATCACAGCCTATCTGTCCAACAATCCATTCTTTTTCTGCATCCTTGGTTCCTCAATAGGCAAGGTTCAAAATGATAGCAAGTTGTTGAAAGGACTGTACTTAAATAGAAAAGGACGCAACATACAAACGTAATGGAAAAAAGTGATCACTATGAAATATTTGATTTCCAAACTTTTTTTCAACCTTTAATTGCATTTCCAATCAACTCCTTTACCAGAAACTCTAGTTTACATAAACTATTAAGTACAACTTTTTCCCAACCTATGGTAAATTCTACCAAATATGAACTTTTCATATGTATTAGGCACTTATAGAAGCTTCAAAGTATTTTGAGATAAACTCTCACCTTCAAAGACCTTGTAACTGAAGAATCTAAGTTTTAAGTGAAAGCACCTGCTTAACTGGTCAATTAATGCTCCTCACCCATTTCCCCTAAAAAGAACTAGCTGTTCTTTATTAGGCTCTCCACAACTCATGTGTTTCTTAAATACAAAATATCTTAGTACTTCCCAAAGTAGTGAGAGACAGGGTACCACATATTTCAATTTACATTTGGCAAAAGAATGAGAATACTTTTATCTGCTCCAGGTAACTTTACATTTTGGTTAAGAGTCTACATACATTAGTTTCAATTCTGCCAAATATAAGCTGCACCTAATGTAACTATAAGAGGTTTTTTAAAAAATCACACACTCACACCATGCTTCTGGGTCTTCAGCTTTCTCATTAGTAAAATGGGGATAATTCATGTTCAACCCAAAATTATGGTAAATACATTAAATGAAAATGTCAAACCATATTTGAAAGCCTCTTCTTTAATTCATCAGGTCCTATTGCTACATTTAAATATCAGTATAATTTTTTGGTAACAAAAAGAATTAAAATTAGCTATAGAATGGGAGAACAATTAATATGTATATTCTTATTCCCTTTCAATTTAGGTTAAAAAAATTGTCAGTGAAATTCTTTTTCAAAATTTTTTAATGTTTATTTTTGAGAGAGGCAGAGAGAGAGAGAAAGAAAGACAGAATGAGTGGAGTAGGGACAGAGATAGAGGGAGACTAAGAATCCTAAGCAGGATCCAGGCTCTGAGCCGTCAGCACAGAGCCCAATGTGGGGCTTGAACTCACAAACTGTGAGATCATAACCTGAGCCAAAGCCAGACACTTAACTAAGCTACCCAGGCGCCCCAGTTGTCAGTGAAATTCTTGAAATTTTTAAAAATTTCCATTATTTATTTAAAGCTCCAATTAAGAAAGAGAAAATAGGGGTGTCTGGATGGCTCAGTCTGTTGAGCATCCAATTCTTGATTTTGGCTCAGGTTATGATTTCATGGTTTATGGGAACAAGTCCAGTGTCGGGCTCGGGTCTGTAAGATTCTCTCTCCTTCTCCCCTGCTCATGCACATGCAGGCTTTCTCTCAAAACAACCAAAAAATGGAGAAATGGGCAAATACTCATCACTACTCAGGGAAAAAAAGTACATATTCTTGGAGACATGAAATGAATAAACACCCAAATTAAACCTGTAGGAAAAGCAGACAGAAGGGCCAACCACAGAACGTTGGAGTATTCCAATATTTACAAGTGAGGAAAAAGAATCTACAAAAGATGTTAAGAAATGGTCAGAGAGAGAGATGGAGAATAAAAAGACACCACTACCACAAAAGCCACAAGGGAGACATTTGCAAAACACAAGGGTTAAGCAAGGAGAGGACTTAAAAAAAAGTTAACTATTAAACTCACGATATATTTCTACTTTTATAGTGAAATGTATGGTGCAAAAGTTGTGAGCACAACACACAATTAGCTATTTTGATTTCCCAAAGACTATCAAGCCTCCTATCAACTACTTTTTACTCAGTCAAGACAAATTTCTTTCCCCTATTCCCCCAAAGACTGTTAAACAACTTTCTCCAATCTCTTAAGAAATGTCCTAGATTCCTTTATTAAGAAATTAGGGGGGGTGCTTGAGTGGCTCAGTCGGTTAGGCGTCCGACTTCGGCTCAGGTCATGATCTCACAGTTCATGGGTTCAAGCGCTACACTGGGCTCTGTGCTGACAGCCACCTCAGAGCATGGAGACTGTTTTGGATTCTGTGTCTCGCTCTCTCTCTCAGAAATAAAAGCATTAAAAAAAAAAAAGAAATTAGGTAAGAGTGAATCCTTTCAGTTTATTTTTATCTTCACTCTACCTTATCATCATTCTTCTTGGCTCAGGATGAGGTATGATTAGTTGTGTTCAAAGTTAACTCCTCAACTTCTGCTGTTAGTACCATCCCAATTCCCTCAAAGTTTTGGTTAATATTTTCTATCCTTAAACTTCAAAATCAACTACATGCTTAGTTTAATGGTCTCTTCTAGTTTCAATGTGTTTGATTCCACTGCATGGAATGATATGACCAACTATTTTTCTAAAACTTTATAAACTATTCATTTCCATGATGGTAGTCTCTCCCAATACTCCTTTCTGTTTCATTGTTATTCTATCTTCTCTAGATGCCTTTAAGTACCAGAATCTAGGTGGATGGCTCCATTTTCCCACTACATTGTGTGTCTAAACCATCTACTTAATATTTCAAAATTAAATATATATATACCACCATGATCCTCGAAATCTAATATCCAGAACCATTCCAATTATATTTCCAATCTGTATTAAAAAAAATCTACTTCAATCTTCTCCAAGGACCTGATATCAAACATGGCTAAAACTAAAGTTATCTGCTCACCTATACCTGCATCTTTTTATCTTGGACAAAACTTAAGAGCCATCCTTAATGCTCCCTTATTGCTTGGCCACTTCTCTTCTCCATGACTGAAACTTCTTTAGAATGTGTCCTGTTCAAATGCAAACTGGTGCAACCACTCTGGAGAACAGTATGGAGGCTTCTCAAAAACTAAAAATAGAACTGTCCTACACTCCAGCAACCGCACTATTAGGGGTTTACACAAAGTATACAAAAATACCTATTTGAAGGGTTACATGCCCTACAATGTTTATAGTAGCATAGCAGCATTATCATCAGTAGCTAAACTACTAAAAGCCATCACTATGTCCATCAAGTGATGAAAAGATAAGGAAGGTGTGTTGTACATATACGTACAACAAAATATTACTCAGCCATCAAAAAGAATGACATCTTGCCATTTGTAATGACATGGTTGGAGCTAGAATGTATTATGCTAAGCAACGTAAGTCAATCAGAGAAAGACATGCCATGTGATTTCACTCCTGTGTGGAATTTAAGTAAACAAAACATATGAACATATGGGAAAGTTGGGGGAGAGAGAAGAGAGGGAAACAAACCACAAGAGACTCTTAACGATAGAGAACAAACTGAGGTAGGTAAGTAGGAGATGAACTATATGGGTGATGGGTATTAAGGAGGGCCCTTGTTGTGATGAGCACTGGGTGTTGTATGTAAGTGATCAATCTCTTCCTGAAACCAACAGTGCACTGTGTATTAACTAAAATTATATACTTAAAAAAATGTGTCCCTTTCATTCCCAAAGCTTGTAACCCTAATTCTGGCCTGTTGGACACGCTTTTGTACAAAATACTAACCTCTCAAGTGGCCTCTCTGACTTCAGTCCTTTCTCCTCATCTTTTCTCAATCATGTCAAATTAGTCTTCTCTCCAATCTTCAATAATTGTCTACTGCCTACATAATCGAATACAAATTCCTAAGCACTGGCTTTCAAGTACACTGACATAGCCTTTAGAGTAAAACAGACTTAGTTAAAATCCTGGCTCCATCATCTATTCTCACTACACTAATCTAGAAGAGCATTTCCCAAACTTTTCCACAAAAGTAAGAATTAGCTGGTGAGTTTGTGTATATCTGAGTTAAAGTCCAAAAATTTGTGTGTTTAACAAGGACTCCAGGAGATAAGTCTCAGAGAAATTTGGAAAACACTGGGTAAAGGACTTCATCTCTCTAATTCTGTGTCTTCACCAATAAATGAGCTACTACCATTTTTCACAATGATTAAATTCAATAATCCAAGTAAAATACCCAGCACTGGGTATTGCTAAGTGCCTAGCAATACAGTAGGTACTAAATAAACAGTCACTCCTATTACTAACTTTGAAGTTTCTTTCTCCCCACCCCACTTTGCTACATAGGATTGCTTCCTGACTCTCCTAAGATGTCCTGATATTTGGGCAACTGTGCCTCTCCCTCATTTCCTTGGCTTGAAAAATACTTCCTAATTTTCTCAGTTTGTTAAAATTCTATTTATTTATTTTTTAAACATTTTTTATAATTTTTGAGACAGAGAGAGACAGAACATGAGCAGGGGAGGGGCAGAGAGAGAGGGAGACACAGAATCGAAAACAGGCTCCAGGTTCTGAGCTGCCAGCACAGGACCCAATGTGGGGCTCGAACCCACGAACCGCAAGATCATGTCCTGAGCAGAAGTTGGATGTTTAACCGACTGAAACACCCAGGTGCCTCTCTATTTAGTTCTTAAGAGCAAGACAAAAGTTCTTTTGCTCACTCTGAGCCCTTCAGGTGGACTAAATCCACTTAGTTCCACAAGCATTTCAGTGTTACCTCAATATGGCATTTTCCCCACTGTTTAATTAATAATTATAAATGTGTCTCACTTACTAGACCATAGTCTAGTTCCTTGATGGCCAGCACCTACAATATTTGACCTACAATATTAAAAAATATATATGTATATATACACATAACATGAACAGAAGTAAGAGATAAAGAAAGATATAAAAGATGAGCAAACATTTCTAATACATCTTTATAAACAAATAATGTCTTGCAATATTAGCATGTGACGCCGAATGTCAGAGGATCACAACTGAGTCAAAAGTTCTCTCTTACTCTCTCGCTGCAGGATTGTGGGTGATCATCTCTCATGCTTGGTCTCAGGATGCAGTGTTTGGCAGAAATAAGTGACTTTTCAGAGCATTAGAAGGTGCCCACAACTAGCACTAGTGTATTTTTTTTTTGTCACTTAAAGCATCTACGGGCAGTCCTTTGCTTTTCCATACACAAGTAAGCTTAGGAATGCTCTGCCTCATTGTAGGTCAGGCTGCCTGCAGATATAAACCCTCTCCTCTGCTGCCCAATTGCCAGTTACATTAAATACAGTATATGACAAGAGTATATTAATACTGTCCTATAAAAAAGTTTCCACTGAGCAAATAGATAGCAGTGATTCCATTAGTGACAGTGAAAGTCTTCCTATACAATAATCCTTCTCTCTTATCTCCCTCACACCAGCCACAAAAGTTGGGTTAATTTATTTTTCTTTATATTTTGTATTTTCTTTATTATTTTGTATTATATTACAGTATGTGATCATTTTTATATGAATATTTTAGGTTGTGGAACCAATCATCTTGAGTTTCCATTATATCTTGTCGGGAAATTCGCTTTGATATACAAGTGCTTTGGATTACAAACATGTTTCCAGAACGAATTATGCTCACACACCAAGGTTTTATACTGTACTATGTAAAGAAAAAGTAGAAGCTAAAAGACCTGGAGATCTTTCCAAATTTTTTAGCATTCTATAAGCAAATTAATTTGTCTTCAGTTTCATTCACTTTTATAGAAATTTTTCCTGATGAGATTTCTGGATATCTACATCAGCAATAATTTAATGAGAAATGAACTCAATAAAGTCTGTAAAGTCAATACAGAATGCTCCTTTTGTATAATTAGAACTAAATATGACATATACCTGGCTTATTGCATTTTATTAGTCCATTTAATTTCCTGCATCCTTGGGAAAAACCACAATGCCATACTTACATTTCTATTACAGATCCCACAGTTGTCTGTCACAAAAATAAAAGACCATCTTCACCAGCAGTCAAACAGTTTGTAGTATTTTCTCTTCCACTGCTGGTTCATTCTGTGCTGCAAGAGAAATTATTTCATCAACTTCTATACAGACTAATTAAGATCAATAAAATTAGTCAATTATGTATGATCCTTTAACAAAATTTAGTGGCAAATTTTATCTTAAAAATTAAAAAATTCAAAACAAGTATCCTTGCTTTTACCACTGCTATTCAACATAGCATTGAAAGTGCTAGATAGAGCAATTAAGACTAGAGAAAGATATGAAACACAAATATATTGGTATGAAAGAAGTAAAATTATTTCTATTTGCACAGATAGTAAAACTATCTCTATTTTCTATATAGAAAGTCCCAAATCCCAAAGAATCCTCAAGAAAACTAGTAGAGTTAATAAAAATTCAGCAAAGTTGCAGGTTACAACTTCAATATACAAGTCAGCTGTGTTTCTGTATCTAGCAGTCAACATTCCAAAAAGGAAATCAAGAAAGCATTTTACAAAATGCTCAAGACTTCCATTTACAATAGCATCTAAAAGAATAAAATGCCTCAGCATCAACTTACCCAAGGAGGGGAAAGATGTGTACATACACTGATGACTATAAACACTGCAGAAAGAAATTAAAGGAGCTAAATAAACGGAAAGACAACCATTAATGGATCGGAAGACTGAAGATGACAATACTACTCAAACTGATCTACAGATTCAACATAATTAAAAAAAAATTTTTAAATGTTTGTTTATTTTTGAGAGAGAAAGCGAACAGGGAGGTGCAGAGAGAGATGGAGACACAGAATCCAAAGCAAGCTCCAGGATCTTCTGAGCTGTCAGTACAGAGCCCAATGAGGGGCTCGAATTAATGGACTGAGAGATCATGACCCGAGCCAAAGTCAGACACTTAACTGACTGAGCCACCCAGGCATCCAGAGATTCAACATAATTCTTATGGAAATTCCAACAGTCTTTTTTGCAGAAATGGAAAAGACTATCCTCAAATTTCTATGAAATTGTGAGGGGCCTAAAATAAACCCAAAACAATCTTAAAAAAGAACAAAGCTGGAGAACTCACATATGCCAATTTCAAAACTTATTACAAAGCTAACAGTAACCAAGTCAATGTGGTATTGGCATAAGAACAGGCAAATATACTAGTAGAAGAGGCAGTCCAAAAATAAACCCATACTTCTATGGCTATTTTTTTAAAAAATGTTAATGTTTCTTTTTGAGAGAGAGACAGACAGAGTGTGAACAGGTGAGGTGCAGAGAGATGGGGAAACACAGAATCTGAAGCAGACTCAAGGCTCTGAGCTGTCAGCACAGAGCCCGATGCGGGGTTCAAACTCACAGACCCCAAGATCACGACCTGAGCCAAAGTCATATGCTTAACTGATGGAGCTACCCAGGCACCACTATGGCTAACAGATTTTTAAAATGAGGTGCCAAGTCCATTCAATGGGGGAAAGAACAGTCTCTTCAACAAATGCTAGGACAAGTGATTTACCATACACAAAAGAAGGAAGTTAGACCCTACTTCACACCATATACAAAAACTGACTCAAAATGGACCAACCACCTAAATATAAGAGGTAAAACCATATAACCCTTAGAAAAAAATAGAGAGGTATATCTCTATGACCTTGGGTTTGATAATAGGTTCCTGGATATATGAATGACACCAAAAGCATGAGAAAAAAAATTAAATAAATAAAAGATAAATTGTGGACTTCATCAAAATTAAAACTTCTGGGCATCCAAGTACATTGTCAAACAAGTTAAAATTCAACCCACAGAATGGGAGAGAATCTTTACAAATCATATACTGATAATATCCACAATATATAAAAGAATGCCTACGACTCAACAAAGACAAAAATTTTTTAATGGACAAAAGACTTGAATAGACATTTCATCAAAGAATATGGAAATGGCCAATAAATACATGAAAAGATGCTCAACATTAGTAGTTATTAGGGAAATGTAAATCAAAACCACACGTATTACCACTTCATAGGTATTAGGATGGCTATACATTTTTTAAAAAAGGAAAATAATAAACATTGGTGAGACTGTGAAGAAACTGGAACCCTTGTACACTATTGATGGGAATGGAAAATAGCGCAGCCACCGGGAAGTCTGGTAGTTCCTCAAAAAAGTTAAGCAGAATCACCATATAATTCGGCAATTCCACTCTCAGGTATATACCCCAAAGAATTGAAAACAGGGACTGAAACACGTACCTGTACACCAATGCTCACTGCAGAATTATTCACAAAAGTCAAAAGCTGGACACAATCCAAGTGCCCAATAACAGAAGAATGGATTAACAAAATGTGGTACATAAATACAGTAGGATATTATTCAGCCACAGAAAGAAATAAAGTTCTCATACATACTATAACATGGATAAGCCTTGAAAATATTATGTTAAGTGAAATAAGCCAGACACAAAAGAACAAATATTATGATTCCACTAATATGAAATACAGAAATTAGGCAAATTCAGACAGAGAAAGTAGAGAAGCAATTACCAAGGACTACAAAGAGGGGAAAATGGAGAGTTATTGCTTAACAGATATAGAATTTGTTTGAAAAGATGAAAAAGTTGTGGAAATATATAGTGGTGATGGCTGTACAACACTGTAAATGTAATTAATGACACTGACTTGTACACTGAATAGTGGTTAAGATGAGGAATTTTATGTTATTTTACCACAATGACTTTTTTAATTTTTTTTCAAGGGAAACAAGTTCTATACAGACAAAAAAGTTCATATGGAATTTTTCCATAGCCACTACCTTTCTCCAGGGAAGTAGTGTGTGAAGAGACTAGACCATCACATTAACCAGGACCTCCTGCTGCTTCTATGTATATCCAACTTTACAAACATTAAGCCAAACTTCTCTCAACATGACTCTTATCCAGGAAATCCAGGAGAAACAAAACATCATCTCAGCTATATCCTCTTTCTTCTCATTTAGTATGCACTCATTCCACTTCACAATACCCAGTGCAGGAGGCACATCGTACTACACAGAACTCAGAATCAAGTATACATGATGACTAAAGAGTTATGTAAGCCTCACAGCAAAGAACTGAATTCTTTCAGTTCCATGTGCCTTTCACAGTATAGAGGGGTTTAAGTGTTTAAAGATAAACATTTTTAATACATAGCCTTTATGTTATTACAAGCCACCTTATCTCACCAAATATTTAACAGAACAAACAATAATCTGTTTCAGAACCAGAAGATTTTCAACTGACTAAAAAAAAAAAAGAGTTCTTAAATTTCCTGACTTTTTGTTTTAGAGACTTTGGAAAACTTGGGTCTTTACATTAAATGGACTCCCATTTCCTTGATCACCACTGCCACCCCCCAGCCCTTTCACTTTACTTTCCAGATGCCTACAACTTTCATGACACTGCAGGAGACTCCATGTCTCTTGAAGGCTACTCAAAACAGAAACTGCCCATTTTCATGCACAGGACAGGAGGAAACATTCTAACATCATTACCCTTAACGAAAACATTATCTCTTTTAAGGCTTTACCATTGACTATATAATCCGCTAACAGCTGTTCTCCTTAACCTTTAAGGCACTGACTTAATTTTCACTGTTCATCATCCTCTTTGACAGTAGACATGGATGGCATCAGGAATTTCAGCTCAAGTGACAGTGATGCAGGTAGTTCATCAAATACAATTTGAGAAACACTGTTCTGTTTTCAAATCCTAAAATCCTAGATTCAATTAACTTCACTTCCCTGTACCTCCAGCAACAAAATATGATGTATACATTTGGAATTGGAGGCCATCTAAACTGCTGCCTCTCTAAAACCTTAATGTCACTCTCAGGTCACAAACTCGGGTCCTCCCAGCTAACTTATGCACTCATTCCCACACCTGTTTGTTTTTTTAATGATTTATTTTTGAGAGAGAGAGAGAGAGAGAGAAGGCAGTGTGAGCAGGGGAGGGTCAAAGAGAGAGGGAGATACAGAATCCAAAGACAGGCTCCACTCTCTGAGTTGGCTGTCAGCACAGAGCCTGACGCGGGGCTCAAACCCAGGAATCGTGAGATCATGACCTGAGCTGAAATCGGACACTTAACCAACTGAGCCAACCAGGTGCCCCACACCTGTTTTTTAATTTCACAAGGACCTCTAATTTCTTGCCAGCCTCTTTTTCTTTATCCAGGTTCCAGTCTCATTTTCTTTCCTGCCATTCTGGAGCCCAACCATTTTTGCTTCTTTATTAACAGAATCCTTGGCTCTCTCACATCTGTCTCTCAACTACCCATTCTCCACAAACCCCTTTTCTGCATGAATCTTAAAATGACATCTCAGCTTCCATGCTTTAACCAACAAATGCTGATGGAGAAAAACAGAAAATTCTTTTTTCTCATCCTCTATCCAAGCAACCACACCAAATTCTGTCAACTTTTATCCTAAACACCTTCAGAATTATCTACTCTCTTGCCATTGCTAGTGCCCTGGTTTAAATCTGTATTATCTCTCACTTGAACGACCGTTAGCCTGATTATCTTGCTTCAGTAACGCCCCTCAAATGTATTCACTAAGCCTTTGAGTGATATACTAAAAAGGCAAAATGGGCTCCCATACTGGCTCTCCCGCCAATCCCATAAAGGCAAAGGTCCTAAGACAGCATTCAAAGGCTTTAATGACTGGAAACCTAAATCTCTCTACAGAGAGATCTTACTTAGATCTCACCACCACTCTCACAGATTAATAGTTACACCAAATTATTCATACTTCTCTAAACCTCCCTTTGTAGTTCTGTACTTCCTCCTCTGGTATAATCTATCTACTTTATAGCTTATGAATGCTACTATACCACTTTCCTGACTACCTCCCAAAAATTGTTCCCTCCACAATATTTTGTACATTCTTCTATTACTGAACTTATCAATAAGTACACTGAAATTACTTGTTTGCTTTTGGCTGTTCTATTAAACCATGAATCTCCTAATGATAAAGACTGTTTTCTATCTCTGAGTGGCTAATAATCTGCCAATCAGTTTTTGTTGACTTGAAGTGATTATTTCTTGGATGAAGGAAAAACTTCCTAAAATAACTGTTGAGAGAAATAAAATATTGAAAAACTAAATTCATGTAACACAACATTTGACTTATGTGGACAATGCACCCAGCCACAAAACAATATAAAGATACCCAAGTTCTAATCATTTCTTTCAAGGACTTAAAATAAAATATAACAGACAGGAGTCACATTTATAAATTTAAGATTCAAGCCATCTTTATCTTTTGCCAAACACATCATTTACCTAGGCTTTGTTCACTGTCAATCTCCAGAATGAAGATAAAAACCCAAGAATAAAACCAGTTTCAGTAAATCTTTCAAGCTACAGTGACTTTTCCAATTCCTATATTCCATGGATAATTTTCCAAGTGGACTCTAAATGAATAATGGTTGCGGGAAGGAAAATAAAATAAAATCTATGTAGTATTAAAATCTATGTAGTATTCTAGATCCTAGCCATGCAAACTGTATCTCCAACCAACTACACTAGCATTTAACTGGGAGTCTTTTACAAATGAAAAATCTGGAGCCCCATTCCATACCTAAAGAATCAGATCTCCAGGTGGTTCATATGCATACTAAGGTTCATGAAGCTCTAGATATCCTCAAAACAATCCTCTGAGATATGACTATACCCATTTTATAAGTGAGACCCAAGGCCGTTAGAACTTAATACCAAGTCACAAAGCTATCAATACTGGAGAGATGCAATTCATACCCAAGTGTACCTTTAAAAAAACATTTTCTTCAGTGTACTGTATCTCAGAGAAAAGGTCTAGAATAGCATAGATAACACTGTTAGTTAACAGAATATGATGCAAGCTGTATTTGTATAATTTCAAATTTTCTATTAGCTAAATTAAGAATAAAAGGAAACGCAGAATTCATTTAAATGTTTGATTTAACCCAATGTATTTAAAACATTACCATTTCCACATGTATTCAATATAAAGAAATTATTAATGTGTTTTTTACATTCTTATGTGTGTATATACTCTTTTTAATTTGGTGCATATTTTAAACTTCTAGCACAGCTCAAACTAGCCATGTATCAAGTGCCCAAAAGCTCCATGGGGCTAGTGATTACCATAATTAGGCAATGCCTATTTAGAATGTTTTGCATATTAACAATTTTTAAAACTACAAAGCTGGAAATTTACTACCAGAATTGGTGAATAAAGTAAATGAACTCCATGTTAGTTTATATACACCTTTGGTGATAGAGATAAAAAGAAAAATTACATATTTTGTTGTCATCAAAATGGACTGGTTTCAGTGATACCAATTCTGATCCAAACTGATCCATCCACTATTAACCTCTGAGAATTACAATGCCAAGCGGGCACAACATAGGGCATAGCATGTAATATTCAGAATATGTGTAGTAGTCCTGAGAAAACCACATTTGAAACCAAATGTAGGGTTTTAAAATGAGGGGCGGGGAGGCTTTTACTTTCAATTAAAGATGTAAGATTGAATAGTGGAATTCTAACTATATGCCAGAATTAACTTGGTAAACATAAATAATTCAAACATACAGAATTCCTACTGCAATGAATGATTTGTAAATTATATGCCAAACTCAATATAATTTATGAATTACTATAGTAAAACTTACAACAATATTTTGATATGCAAATATCAATTAGTTAATGGGTTAAAGTTCTTTCTTTAGGTGAAAATTTATACAGAAAAGAACTATTAGGAAGAAAACATAAAGGAGAAAAGATTTGGAACTATGTTACATATTCTCACCTCTTAACAATTCTGGAAAAAAAAGTGACACTAAATTCAAAAATATATGAATTTAGAAATTGTGTGAATTTAAATTATTTACCTACTCAAACAACAAGTGAATAAGTATAACTGAAAATGAAGTAATACCATACTATTTATAATTTGTGACCACTCCACAAATTCACACTCCTTATTTACATATGCTGTGATCTTCTCTGAAAATATTTTAGGATTAATTACAATTCCACTGTGTCAAGTCAGTCACAAAGTAAAAAAAAAAAAAAAAAAATCATTTTCCCCACATGATAGATTCAAATAAATGATTATCTTTTTAAATAACTAATCAAAGAAAAAGATAAGCACATTAACTGTATTTGGTATTTTAACCAAATTATAAAGATTTAAAGGCTTCCTGTATTTTTCCAATTACTAACAGGTAATGTTTAATAAAAGTTTTTACTCTTTTTTATGCAAAATACACAAAACAGGAAATTTTCTATATAAAAGCTAACAGTGACAGAAAAAAACACTTAAAACCTTCCAATTTTCGGTATACAAATTTACAAAAAAAGGAAAAAACAGCAAAAACCAGTAAAAGAAGAAATAAAGTGAAAATTTAGTAGCTACATCTTCATATTTTTTAAGAAAGAGTCTCAAATTGAGAGAGGTAACTAAATGCCCTAATGTTTCCATTTTTAGCTTTCCCTCTCATCGCCTGCTAAAACTGAGCTTACAGAAAGCACAGGTCATACAGGGAAACAAAAGTCTTCTGTCAAAACCCATTTCATCTAAATGGGGGCTAATACTTGACACTACACTATTTTAAAGATTTATTTCTCTTATTGTTAAGCACTTCCCTTTAAACATTACTGAAGGACAATCCATGACCTTCACAATCTTCACATTCAAGTATTCAATTTTTATATCCCTCCCCAATCAAATGTAGGCTTTGTATTTTAACTTAAACAAAACATAAAATGTGAATGTGAACAAATGTTATTTTAATCTTACCAAGCAAAAGCTTCATAGCCTGCAGCCATTTTGTAAGTGAAAAAGGCAGTGTTGCTAATTATATGTGTGACCTTGGTCAAGTCATTTCACCCTACGCTATTATTTCTGTAATTCTAAATACTTTAATTAACAGACATTTAACAACAGGCTTTATTTTAATTAATCCAGAAGGTAATAAGCCACAAACACTCAACAGCCCATAAAGAAGCACAAGTGGCTGCAGCAGGAGGTTAATAAAGTGGTTTTCATACCCACAAAGATTATTCCTAATCCAGCCTGTTTAACAAATGCAGGCTCCTTAGACACAACCAGGTACCAAGCAGGGGGGATGGAAAAAATGGTCAGCACCCTCTGTTACACACACTGGAAAATAAAATCAAATATCCAGCTGACAATGTGTCAAGGCATTTCATGATAGTAAATGGTTAATACATAAAATAATATTCTCTAAATACATTAATACTGTGTAAAGAAAATAACTGAATACAACCTTCTTCTTTTATTCTGTCAAAAAATCATTTCCGGATCTTTAAAAGCAAATCTTTCCTATTTTAACATTTCACATTGGTGGAAACTGAAACAAATACTTTACCAGTGGATACTTGTCTCCTAAAAAGAAAAAACGCCATTTCCTTTTTCTTCCTCCTAATGACTAGCTATTTGGAAAAATAGTTTCCTTGGTTATTATAATTCTACCAAATTTTTAACAACCAGTAAGTAACAAAAACCTTCAAATATTTACTACTATTTTCATTTTGCCCACAACTAACATTGGCCATTTTAAACATAAATTCTAAATCAAAGAGCAGGCGTAACAAAATGCTCCAATTTAAGATACACAAGGCTAAAATAAACAAGGCTTTCACTTTTCTGGTTTTCTCTTTAAAAAGAGAGTTACTTGACCTATTTTCATGTGTTTTTAGAAACTCGGACACTCAAGACCGTATTTCCTGGTCACGAAAACAGCAAAGCCAACATTACAAGTCCTGTTATTTCTGTGGGTCGTTTTCTTCACGTGTCCTATGTTCCACGTCTTTTTAAGACTCTAAATATAGATTCATTTGCTTAAAGATAAAAAATCTTAAGTCCTCCAATTTCTGTAATTACACACCGCTTTCAATGCCAATGTTATACTTTCACATCCTATTTAAAAAGTACACACACTGGCAGGGAGGGAGTGAGCCGATGCACCTGAAATGTCAAGCTCAAAGACAACGCATTTTCTATCATTTCTTGGCTTTCTTCTTCCGTCATTTCCACCCTGTTCCAATATTACAAAAACATTACTTAAACAAAATGTAAGTACTTTCGAAACTTTAAAAGTGTCACTAAAATGGCACTCAGGTAAGGAAAAATTAAAAAAACATACGAAATGGTTAACAAGAGAAAGCTCCCGTTGCCAAAATGTTATGTGTAAACTGAAAACAATTCTGCAGCCTTCTCTAGACGCCTACGGAAAATAAAATAGCGACAATGGAAGACCCCTACTCTTTTAGACGGGTTAGGGGGTAGAGAGAGAACTCGCACCCAGCAACCAGTAGAACAAAGCAACAGCCTCCGTTTTAAGATGCCTGGAGGTTTTCTGGGTTTTGTTTGTTTGTTTTTGTTTTTGACTTCACGGGTATCAAGAGATCTCTTCATTGTTCTGATGCTTTAACAATCATCAAAACAATGACGCCTATGCAGCGCTGGGTTGAACCAGGGAAAGGTGGAGGGAATGCTCTTCCTATTAGGCAAGACCCAGACGCTGAGCAGGAGGAGAGAGGGAAAAGGAAGCAGCAAAAGACACTCCGGAAAAAGACAAAATGCAGGGACTCTACGCCCCAGCTGCGATTTGACCCAGGGCCAGGAAAGAGGCCTCCACACGGGAAACAGGGAGCAGTAAACCCTCCAAACAACATCGCCGCCCCCAAATCCCGAGGCCAGAAGGTCCCTGCGTAGAGGCCTGACACCGCCGCCAAGGGGAGAGGACAGCGACCTGGCTGCCACCGAAGGCCGAGACGAGGACCCCGGCGGAAGAGGCTGCGCAGTAATGGCCGCTGCTCCGCCTCTCGCACCCGGACCGTGACCAGCTCTGGGCCGTCGTCCTGAGCAGAGACTGCGGCGGCCGCGGACAACGCAGCGCCCGTCACAGTCTTCTTGCCTGCGACAGCAGCCTAGCTGGGGGCGGCGGGAAGGGCTAAACGGCTCCATCCCGCCTGGGTGCAGACCCGCGACCGCGCCGGCCCAAGGGCGTCCACCTACGTACCGGCCCCTGACCCCAGCGCCGCCGCCCCTCTCAGGCCCTGAGCGCAGGGCCGACCCGGAGCACGACGCGGCTGGAGGTGACGCCGCAAGCCTTTACGCCTCCTCGGGTTAGGATCCCGCAGTGGCTGACTTTCACCCTTCCCCGCCAGGACTTCACCCCGACTCCCACCTCTCTAGCCACAGCCGCGGCCGTCTCGCAGTCTTTTCTCTTCGGCCTCGGAGCCCGCAGCGGCCGGGAACGCGCGCGGCCGTCACGTGACCGCCCGTCGCGTCGCGGGGGCGGGGCCGCGCAGGGCGGAAGTAGCGCCTGGCTCCGGGGAGCTCGTTCCCCTCTCGCTGCGCCGTGCTTCCCCACGACTCAAGTCCGGAGCGAGCGGTTGGGTACCTGCTTTTTCTTGCCTTTGGAGACCTGCAGTTTCACTGCCTTGGTCGTTCTAACTGCTTTGTATTGTACTTTACGTGTAGTGCGGAAGATTGAAAGAATGCGGATCCACCAGAGGTCTGGCGCCGAGGAAGTAAGATGCATGTGGGACCGGCAGGTGGCAGAAACTCCGCTGCGAGCCCCAGGAAAAGCCGGTGAGCGTCTAGCTGGGTCTGGGGGTACAGAGTCCGTGGCAAAGTACTGTTTTTTCTCTTAACAACAACAACAACAACAACAACAACAACAAAAGGAGGCTTCTAAGACGTTCAAGTTTTTTCACTGTCTGAAGGGTTGAGCAATTTAATCGGAAAAAATAGATCTTAATTTCCTTTTGGACCCATTTTTCTTACACTAGAGCATAGGGAACTAGAGGGAGAGTTTAAGCAGCAGAAGAATCTAAAACTAAAGAAAAGGCTTATCTTGTTGCATTCGTGTGGTTTTAAACGTCAGAACTTTGGCAGTATCCTCCATTTTATTTTAGCATATACACTGACTTTCTCAGGACTATATTTTTTCAATTTGTACTAAAACGAGAAAGGTGGAATAGCATGCATTTTGTCTTTACGAGCATAATTCAACATTCCTTGCAAATATCTTACTTGTATTGTTACATTTTGAGATGTTACTGTTTGTTTAAGGTTGGGAATTTTTAGTGTCCTTATATATATAAAAATATGTACATTTTCTATTATTTTTCTGAAATCATTATTTTTCAAGGTTTTTATTCATATATATCAATACATAACCAATTCTTGAAGAGTGCCATCTAGCTCAATGATGCTTACTAATGTAAACAAAAGCAATATTTTTTATTATAACTTATGTAAACATAATAATGTTGAAGTATATGTTCTCCAGCTTTAACCTTAATCCTTTGTCTTTATGTTCACCTTAGCCATCCAGTTTTGCCTTTCTATGCTACACCGCCCATGAACAAATAATAGCAATACTTGAAGATTCCAGCTTTAAGATAAAATACTAATATTAACAACGCCAGGTGTGCATGGCATTGTTCTAAGTGTTTTACACATATTAGCTCACAATAAACTATGTAATGGGTATTATTGTTATTCCCATTTTACAGACACAGCTGGGATTTGAATCCAGGCAGGAGTTCACCTAATCCAATGCTTATTTTATCAATTAAGAAATAGATACAGCAAGGTTAAATGACTTGCTTAAAGACTTTCTTGTTCAAGATACAACAGGGATCAGAACACAGGTATGTTTCCTGATCTATAAATACTTTTAATTAAAAAAAAGTTATTCACAATTCTGATGCTCTACACATATATTTACAACAGGTTCTCTAAATGAATATTATAATTGATATTCTATCTATGTGTCTTTCTGCACACAACCCCAAAGGAGTTAACAGGGATCTCATTAAAATACCCTTTCAGACTTCAAATTGTCTCTCAGCCACACCTACAGTCTTCAGTCATTTCAGTGAATGGCTCCATCTTTCTGTGCCCAAACCCGTCTTTAATAGCTCTTTCTCTTAAGTCCCACATTCACTTTGCAAATGAACTGTTGGCTTTTCCTTCAAAACACATTCAGAAAATGGCTACTTATCACTTATACTACAACCTACATCATCTCCTGTTTGGATTATTGCAGTGGCCCAGGGACTGGTTTTCTTGCTTTTGTCTTTGCTTTCCTTTGAGTCTATTCTCAACACAGAGTTGAGAATAAAGTCAACTTATTAAAAGAAAATCAGATCATACCACCCCTCTGTACAGTCTCCCATGGCCTTCCAAAACAAAGTAAACACCAAAGTCCTTAACCATGGCTCTAAGTTTCTTCCTTAATTACCTCTCTGACCTCACAGACTGTACACTCAACTCTGTGTTCCAGGAAGACCCTACATAAGGTGTCAACCTCCAACTTTGGAGTTGCTGTTTTCTCTGTTAGAATATTCTTCCCCATAATAGTTTCCTTCCTCTCTCCCTCTTCCCAAAAACCATCCTTTCAGTCTCTCTTCTATGTGCCACCTATTTCATTTCATTTCATTATTCTCAAGTTACTTAACATACAGTGTAGTCTTGGCTTCAGGAGTAGAACCCAGTGATTCGTCACTTATGTATAACATCCAGTGCTCATGCCAACAAGTGCCTCCTTAATGCCTATCACCTATTTAACCTACCCCTACCCCCATCAACCCTTAGTTTGTTCTCTGTATTTAAGAGTTTCTTATGGTTTGCTTCCCTCTTATTTGCCCTATTTTAAATCATGGCATCGCATATTCCCAGTATTTCTTATTCTCCTCCTTTACTTTTTTCCCCCTCTAGTACTTATCACAAAGTAAGGTATGATTTAGTTGGCTTATTCATCTTTATTGTGTGTCTCTGCACACTAGAACATAAATCTCTCCAGGGTAGGAATTTCTGTTTTCTGTTGTATCCTAACTGCCAAAAATCGTGCCTGACATATTAGAGAAACCCTCTATAAATACATATTGAAAGAATGGATATGTACACACACATTGATATTCCAAATAATATATAAATGAATAAAAACATGTTATTTATCAGCAAATGCATATAAAGAGATTTGGATGTGCACAATACTATGCACCCAGTTTCTACCAGCCACCTGAAAGATAGTGATGAGTTTCTATGAATAATATGGTACAGCACCTCTTATTGTGGTCAGAAGGGTTTTGAAAGTGATTGGTTTCCAGTATTTGTTAAAATACCCAAACTTTCAAGTGATTTAAAGAAATAAATCAGGGGCGCCTGGGTGGCTCAGTCGGTTAAGCGTCCAACTTAGGCTCAGGTCATAATCTCATGGTTCGTGGGTTTGAGCCCTGCATCGGGCTCTGTGCTGACAGCTCAGAGCCTGGAGCCTGTCTTCGGGTTCTGTGTCTCCCTCTCTCTCTGACCCTCCTGTGCTCACGCTGTCTCTCTCTCTCTCTCTCTCTCTCTCTCTCAAATAAATAAAACATTAAAACTTAAAAAAATTTTTTAAAAAAGAAATAAATCAGAGACTAACAGATACAGGGTATCTCTGTAATAATGATACTGTCACTCCCATTCTATTTTGCTTCATTGAATCAGAGATAAAGGAGTTGCAACAGACTGCCAGGATGTGCTCATTATTCCCAATGCATTGTCTCTTTCCCAGGAGTGCAGAAAATACTTTCATAAGTACCAGGCACCTCTACTTTCCCATATTATTGCCCCAACACTCAGTTATTTGATATTACTTATTTTTTAAATAATAAAAATACTCATTTTGTTTAGTTAATATCTGAAGACATCCATGAAAACACACATAAGAAAATTATGTGTTCCAGTGAAAAATTTGTTGGAAACCATTGATGTAACTAGTGGTTTTCAGAGTGTTTTCTAGTATTCTCTTGGGTCCCTTGAGATCTCAGAGGGTTTAGAGGTGAAAATTATTTTGATAATAATACTAAGACTCTAGCTGCCTGGTTCACTCAGTCGCCCCCCACCCCTACCCCTGGGCCCTAGTACAGTGAAGTTTTCCAGAGGTTACATGATCTGTGATATAGCAACAGATTAAATATAGAAGGAAATATTAGAATTTGACTATAACAATTAAGCCAAGGTAAAAGAGATTTGCAAACCATAAGATAATGCCATTCTTTTCACTAAGTAAGCTTTTTCTGGGAGAATAGAGGTTGCTTGTTTTTTTTTTTTCCCCAGAAAATATTTATGTGCTGTGTTTATGTGAGACCTAAACCTAACTGACTGCATTTTAGAAAAAGCCTTCATCTTGAGGGTGAACTAGGCCCGAACCCAGTTCCAGGAAAAACTGCAGAAAGTACTTAGGCAGCCTGCACTTAGTTACTTCCCTAGCAATAGCAATAGCCAATCAGTTTAAAAGAGGCGCCTGTGTCCCAAGACGTTCCTGTTGGCAGTTTGCAGTCAGGCCAGATGGGCGTAGCCAATCGGGTACTGACAAGACCGTATGTACTAAAAGTCAACCTATCAGGAGACTGCCAAGCTGGAAAGCCTCCAAATCTCACTACAACCGCAATAAAAAGCCCTGCGACCCTGAGTTCGGGGCTCCATACCATCACCGCTGCGTCGGGGTGCTTTGGAGTCCCTGCTCGAGCTTGAATAAAGACCCTCATGTGTTTCCATCGGAATCAGCTCCTTGGTGGTCTTTGGGGTCTCGCGATCTGGGCATAACATTTGGGGGCTCGTCTGGGATCCCCAAGACCCCTCAGACCCCTGAACCAGAGGGTCGACCAGCTGGTAAGAATCTCTTTCTGTTGTGTTCATCTGTGTAACTCTGGTCTCGAGACAAATCTGTATTAGGCGACCGAAGGTGGTCAAAGCGGACATGCTGGGGGCCACGGTAGTGACCTACCTTGAAGATCAGGGCTTCTTTGGAGGGGACAGAGTGCCCCTAGTCTGTATTCGGAGGGGACAGAGTGTCCCTAGTCTATATTGATCCAGGAAGACGAGGTGGGTCACTCCTGGGAATCGGCCGAAGGCTATCGTCCCAGCTTCATTTTTTTTTCTGTGGCGGACTTTGTTATCTCTTTCTGTGTGTGCGCCTGTGACTGTCGGTTGTGTCTGTTGGACTTTATTACTGGGCGACTGAGACTGACGAAATGGGACAGACACCATCTAAACCCCTAGATCTGTTGCTCACTCACCTCAAGGATATCAGAGCTCCAGCGCACAATCTCTCTGTGAAAGTTAAAAGGAGAAGATTTCAGACTCTTTGCACCAAGTAGAACAGCAGGTCTCT